ATAACCAAAACAGTTGATAACATGATTGTTTTAGGTATTTGTTGTATTCAGTGTCTACTAACTTAATTTAATTTTAAATGAGATTGTGATTTATTTATAGCTCTGGTTCTAAATATAAATAATGTTATGCCTAGAAAGAATTCTTGAAACTTATATTGTTTTTAGAAAGTTGAGAACAATGAAAATATATTGTAAGAGCTAAATAATCATAAGCTCAAGGGTAAAAGTAAGATAATTAAATATATGCATACAACATTGCCCTTCAAGGAGTAGAACTTGCTATTAAAAATACCAAGAATTAGACAAGCCCTTTAGCTGAAATTGTTATGTTTAGAACTAACTACTGTATATATTTAGTTTGCCCCATGACTGAGCATTCTGTAGCCTTGCAAGTATGACTAAAGGTTACAAAGTTAATAGAAACATTCCAGGTATTTTTCTGACAATGTTGGTCTTTAACACTCTGATTATTGTTTTAGAATAATACCTATTCTAGTCTATAAATCTTTAACTAGAAAGTAACACAAAGCTAGGCAGTTTGATGATCAACTGCAGTTATATCATTGCAAATTTATATTTGTTTATATTTCATACTTTTGAACCACCCATCTCCCTCAGAGATTATATCACAGTGGTAAATAATTGGTTTGAATAAAAATATGATGCCACTGTTCATTTCAGCAGCGAGGGTTTTTGTAGTTAGTGGCCAAACCAGGTAAATACAGCTTTTAGTCTTTTCCCAACCTGACTGCATAGGCTTAGTTGAATACTAGCAGCTTTATTGTTTCATAGGCTTTCTTTTATCCTTCTGCAAATGAATACCTAAGTTTCATGATAGTGGTGCAAACTCCAGGTGTAGTAGGATAAAAATAGTAAATTGCATAACATTCCCCTTCATTTCCTCTTAACAAAAGATAATTTACCTTGAAAGCTCAGTCAGGCTGAATAGGAGTCTTTCAGAAATAGTATTTTTGAAGAAAATAGAAGCCATATCATTTATAACTATGGAATAGGTAAAAAGTAGGAATGAAGCATTATGAACCTTTTCAATATTAAACTAGTTATTGCTGATTATTACATTGTTAAAATGATTTATACTGTAAACAATTTTAGTAGCTCTTTGTCTTTCAAAATATTTTTCAAGAGATGCAAGGTAGCATTTATAATTGGGTAGTAAATGGTTGTTCTGGAAGGCATTTGGGGATTGATCATCGATTGAATGTAGTTGTTACTTTTAAACTCATTATCTAAATTTTTAAATGTAGAGTTTATTCTTATTTCTGTCTTAATATCTGTAAACTTGCAGGGTCAATGAGGATTGAGGTAGTGGATAAATTGCATAAACAAACAACTGTGAAATTAACCATAGAGGAAATGGTAGAATTTCAAATAAAATAATTGGTGGAATTATAGTATACACACACACACACATACATATACATACACACACACACACACACACACACACACACACACACATACATATGTATCATATTTTTCAGTAACATTACAAATGACAGTAGTAAAATTGACTTGATTTGCTATTATCATCAGATGAAGTTCTAGCTGATATACACACAAAGAAATTGAAAGAGATCCAAGGTTTGACTTTGATATTGTGCCATAACAAACTATACGGTATGGACGCCTATAAAGCTAATGGAATCTTGCAGAGTTTTAGTAGATTTTTAAAATAGTAACTCTTTGAAAATACACAATGTGAGAAAAAAAACCCACTTTAACTTTGTGGTTAGTGTAAATATTGAATTTGTTACCAGAAGATTTATCTTATTTTAACCACAAGAATGCTTTTCATATTGTCAGAGGAAATGGTACTTTGTTTACCATTTCCTTCATTCAGTTCAATTTTATTTATTCACTGTAACAAAAGGGAACCTCAGTTTTTGAAAGAAGTGGAATACATGTTTCTTTATTAGCATAATGCTGCTTATGAGATTGTGTTCATTCTAAATTACTAACTATTGCATACTTCCATACCTGACATTGAACTATTTTTTGCATTGGAAGGGATGCATAACTTGCCATACCGAATGCTAAAAATATGTAGGGCTGCCCTTGGAAGCACAGGCAGCTAGGTGTTTGTGTATAATGCCTCACCATAGCTATATATCATCTCTGTTAAAATAGCTATACTTTTCCATTGAACTAAGTTGGTGTTATTGGTGTTAACATATACTGCCTTAAAAACGTGAGGATACTTCAAAGAACTCTTCAGTGGAACCCCTCTTGGTTATTCCATATCAAGAATAACCAATGAGGAAGAATGCCTATTCTGCCATGGTCTCAATTCTGTGGAATGTTATATATTAGACCAGGCATGTCAAACTGCTGGCCCACAAGCTGAACGCATCACACCAAAACTCCATCCACCCCATTGCTAGCAATGGGGAAAAAGTCCCAATACGTCACGTGATGTCACATGATGTTGCGAGTTTGACATGCCTGTATTAGACCAATTAGTCTAACATCAATATCTGGGGAGATCCTGGAAAAGATAATCAAAAAACAGATCTGTGAACAAACTAGAAGCAAACAAAGTTATAATGGTAGCCAGCACAGGTTTGTTAAAAACAGATCATGCCAAATCAATCTTATTTCATTCTTTGATAAAGTGACCAAATCGGTAGACCAGCAAAATGTTGTAGACATAGTATATTTAGATTTCAGTAAGGCATTTGACAAAGTAGACCACAATCTACTGCTTGGTAAGCTAAAAAAAGGTGGAATAGACAACATCACCACCAGATGGACTTGTAGTTGGCTGACAAACAAGTAGGCCTCAATGGTACTACATACACATGGAAAGAAGTAAACAGTGGGGTACCACAAGGCTCCATCTTAGGTCCAATACTCTTCAATATCTTCATTAATGACTTAGATGAGGGAATAGAAGGGGAACTCATAAAATTTGCAGATGACACTAAACTGGCAGGAATAGCCAACACCCCAAAAAACAAGCTCAGGATCCAAAAAGATCTTGACAAACTTGAACAATGGGTCCTATCCAAGTTTTACATTTAGGCAGGAAAAATCAAAGATATAAGTACAGATTAGGTGAGACCTGGCTCAAAAACAGTAACTGTGAGAGGGACCTTGGAGTCCTAGTGGACGATCACTTAACTATGAACCAGCAGTATGCAGTAGCAGCCAAAAAAGCTAATACAATCTTGGGTTGTATAATCAGAGGCATAAAATCAAGATCACACGAAGTATTAATACCACTTCATAATACCCTAGTTAGACCACATGTGGAATACTGCAACTAATTTTGGTCACCATACTACAAAAAAGATGTTGAGACTTCAGAAAAAATTGAGAGAAGAGCTACTAAGTGGAGGGGGGACAAAGATGAGAATAGGTACAGGCAGCGAGTTCAGGACCTCCAAAGGACAGAAATGGAGGGAAATAGAAGCGTGGGCAGAATTGAAGCAAAAGTAAGAGTGATAGGAAAGGGGAAACATATGAGGTCCTTGCCTAGCGGTGGCATGGTTCTCACCTAATGACTGCAACCAGACTACTGGAACTGCTGTTGCTCAGTGATGTATTTGTATATTTCACCTAATGAGCTCTTTGCTTAATGATGGCAATTCTGGTCCTAATTAGGATTAAGCAAGGACTATCTGTACTCAAAATTTTTACTAGTTTGACAGATAACTCAGAAGTATACTGAGTCAATCATTAAGTGAACCCATTGTTTGTTTTGGGGTGTTTTTGCCAGAAATCAGAAGTAAATGCTGTTTCTTGGCAAAAAGGTCATGAACCATGGGGGTGGGGTAGGGTGGAGTGGTTGTTAGAAATGTTTTTGATGTACGGCATTTTGGAAACAGTAGAACACAGCTTCCAAGACCTGCAGGTTTTTAAACCTTACGCCTTGGTGTTTTTAATGACGTCCAACAGAAATGTTCCTGCAACCCTCCAAAATGGAGTAATTTGCTGCCCTTGGACAGAAAATGTTGCCCAATCTGCTTAATATATATGTCCATATATGTTCGGTTTTAATTCCTTCTGAGGAATGCAAGCAGTGTGTCTCTTTGGTATTAATGGTTTATTGGATTTTTAAAAATTGTTCAAAAGAAATATATTTATCGTTCTATCTACTATATATATTTAGACAAGTTGATTTCATTTAGTTATAGGAATGATGATTAATCTGGTTTGCTGTATAGATGCTGTTTGTGTTTATTAATTAGCTTTTTATAATGTGTTTCAGTTAGTTGGTTTTTAAACATGCACTTATTAATAGCTGATTGGCACTCTGTAAAAGACAGGAATATACTTGATAGATAATATAATGTATAAGGCAATATCTGTAAATGGGGAGGCCTTTTAGATTGTGGGTTTTTAATATTGTGAAGCTACTCGGAGTCACCATGTGTGAGTTGGGCAGCCCTATACATTTGCCTAATGAATAAATGAATATAAAGCTTGGGTCAGCACAGTGCCAGGTTATGTTAGGGATCGCTTTACTGAAACCAATCTATTCATCATGTAAAAATATCAAGAGAGCACTTCCTCAATGTTTTTTCACCGTAAGAAGCAAAAGAGAGCTGGTCAGAAGGAAGATCTTTTCTGTAGTTGCTTTAATATCGGGGGATGGATCAGTGAAGGTATGTGATTGGGTGTTAAAAAAGTCAACGTCACAGACACAACTGTGTAGTCAAAGAGCTGCCCTTTTGTGCATTAAGCACAAAAAAAAACCTAATAAAAAGCTGCCCTGAAAAAAGTTTCCTTTTTAAGCAGGCATTTAAGTTTTTAGAGAATTTTAGAGATTTTTTTTTTACCTATGTTATGTTAGTCTGAGGGTATTGTGGTTTTTACTGGTTTGTTTACTTATGCATTATAATTAACCACAGAATCAGTTTTTGTAAATGATAATTACATAAAATAAATACAATTATTAAAAGTGTTACAAATACTTTTTTTTAAAAAAAGGACTGAAATTAGTAACTAAACAATTATTATTCTTTTGTATGTCACAGGTTTTTAAAGCAGTTTCTCAGATGGATCACCTCAGAGGAACATTTCACCAAGATGCCTGAGACTATGGAATAAACAGAATAATACTTATGGAATTAAAATTACTGTATATATTAAATTGTTCTGGTTCAACAAGACCTGAAAGGTTACTTTATCATACTATTAATTTACATATTTACTGAAATTTGCTTCTGATGCAGCTAAGAAAAATGCAGTCCATTAAAACAGAAGAGGCATCTGCTGACACAAGTGGCAACATGGACAAAATTATGGTTCTTAATTCTACACTGACTGATGTATCGGATGACTTAGCTACTGGTGATGAAATGTTACTTGCAGAAGGATCCATTATAAAAAACAAGGCTTCAGCATGCAGGAGAAAGCGGGAATTCATTCCAGATGAAAAGAAAGATGCGATGTACTGGGAAAAACGGCGGAAAAATAACGAAGCTGCCAAAAGGTCTAGGGAAAAGCGGCGACTGAATGATCTTGTTTTAGAGAACAAGCTAATTGCACTGGGAGAAGAAAATGCCACTTTAAAAGCTGAGTTACTTTCACTGAAGTTAAAATTTGGTTTAATAAGCTCTTCTGCATATGCCCAAGAGATTCAGAAGGTCAACAATTCAACAGTTCTTTATTTTCAAGAATATCAGAATTCCAAATCAAGCGTTAATACTTTCATCGATGAACATGAGCCAACTATTGTAAGCAGTAGTTGCATATCTGTCATTAAGCACTCACCACAAAGCTCTTTATCTGATGTATCTGAAGTGTCATCAGTAGAGCATACTCAAGCAAGCCCCATACAAAACCATTGCAGAAATACTGATGATAAATTCCAAATCATAAAGCAGGAACCTATGGAATTAGAAAACTATGCAAGAGATTCACGAGATGAAAGAGGGTCCTTTACGACTTCAATATATCCAGGCTTCATGGGAAGCCATTTTAATGGCTATTCACATTCCCCTCCACTGTTGCAAGCAAACAGGTCCTCCAGCAATTCTCCAAGGACTTCAGAAACTGATGAGGGTGTTGTGGGAAAATCATCAGATGGAGAAGATGAGCAGCAGGTTCCTAAAGGTCCAATCCATTCTCCCGTTGAACTTAAAAATGCTAATGCCATAGTTAAGGTTCCAGAGGTAAGCTCTTCTGCACTTCCTCATAAACTGAGAATTAAGGCAAAGGCCATGCAAGTCAAAGTGGAAACATTGGACAATGAATACGATGCCACACAGAAACGACTGTCACCTATTGATATGTCATCTAAAAGACATTTTGATCTTGAAAAGCATAATGCACAAAATTTAGTACATAATACTCACACTCCTTTCTCAATTCAAGTGACTAATATCCAAGACTGGTCTCTGAAACCAGAACACTGGCACCATCAAAAAGAACTGACTGAAAAATCTCAGAGTGGTGGCAAAACTGCAGGGCTTGATGTTAAAGACAATTCCTACAAAGTCTCTGAGACAGAAAACTTGTACTTGAAACAGGGCGTAGCAAATTTGTCTGCAGAGGTTGCTTCACTTAAGAGACTTATAACTACACAACACATCTCTGCTTCAGACTCTAGCTAAATGACTACTGAGTAATTATTATTTTAAAGGATGTCATTTGCAGTAGATTGGTATGTTTTGTATTACGCTGAATTTTCACTGGACTTGGAATGTCATTTCACTGTAAGGTTCACATAATGTCTGATGGATGATGTGTTTTTGTGCACAGATGACTGTGGAGATGAGATTGTCAAGATCACTAGCCTTGTGTATGGTGAAGATGCCTATGTACATGCTGTATATATAGTGAACATTATTTTTCTGTCATTCTGTTACTATAAAGTGTGAAAGTTGCCAGTTCCAATAAAAAAATTGGTGACAAGCACAAACTGTAAATTGTCAAATTATTTTCAGTCAGGATTTTGTTTTAAGTTCACCACAGTTATGAGACATACTGTATCTCCATTTTCTTACAATATATTCATTATAGGGATGGGTGTCTTTCTCGTCCCCATCACTTCTTAGCCTTGTTTTTCATGCCAAGTTGCATGTCAAGAACAAAAATAAAAACCGGATGCTGGGAGACAATTGATAATCAGATATTATGACAATATCTAATGAATGAATCAGAAAACAAAAACACTTGCGAAAGACAATACATTTTTACTGACTTATGCCCCTTGCATTTTAGACTAATATTTATTTATTTATTTATTTATTTATTCTGGATGCCCATCTCATAATACTTAAAAACAAGATAAACTGAGAAAAACCAACCATCAACAACAATTAGCACATGATACAAATACAGTTACATCTGGGACCCCAGTCTCAGTAATAAAATCATGCTTTCAATGCATTACAAAAGGTAAGCAGGATCAGGGCAAGTCTGATGTCTAGCCTCTAGAATGATGTTCCAAAGGGAGGATGCCATGACAAGAAAGCTTAGGTCTTGCCAGATGACACTAGTAGATGATACCTGGAGCATGCAGCTTCTTCCTGATCCAACTGGACAGGTAGATACAACCAGGGAGAGACACTCCTGCCATAACCTGAAAGCATACTGACAAATAATACAGAGCAGAGGCATCACAGGCTCTAAAAGACAAGCACCCATAATTGCCTGTGCTGCTTCATTTTGCACTAGCTGAATATTCCAAATACTCTTCAATGGCAGCCCCACATAGAGCATATTGCAGTAGGCCAAATGAGAGGTGACGTAAGGCATGAGTGTCCATGAGCAAGTCATAATGGTCTGGGAATGGAGCAATTGATGCACAACATGTAATTGTAAAGGTCCTCCTAGAAAGCTTCTACCTGATCTAGCAGGAACTGGGAAGCCAGGAGAACCCCCAATTTGTAACCCCATCAATAACTACACATGGAAGGCCCCTAGAACAATAGGGTCCTAAAACCCAAACCCATCAGATCTTGCTAGGTTTTAGCTGATGATAGTTGTTCTACAGTCAAAACCCCCACAATCTCCAGACACCAAGACAAGATTTCAATCACATTATGTAGATAGTCTGGGCTGTATATATAAAGCTACTCATGATATTTCAACCTAAACTGTCAGATGACCTCACCTACATGCTTAATGTAGATTTGAACAAGAGTGGATAGAATTTGGAAGCCTGCTACGCTCCACAAAGCAGAGCCCATGGATTGGATCTTCCCCCATATCAATTTATATTTAATTAATACTAGAAAACATAAAGACTAAAGTGATATATAGATATGGGAAAACTATTGCATTTTCCTTTTTTCTTCACAGACTTGTGATATACAGGAAAAAGTCAAAAACTGTCTTAGCAAATTAGCGTAACAATGTATTGATTTGGATACTGCCAATTTGTTTTGATGTCTTTTAATCCCAACCTTTTCCCAAAGGATGTTATAAGTGCAATCTGTTGCAAAACAGACATTCAAAAACTTTAGAATAACAAAAAATAGATTAGATCATGTGGCACTCACAAATGATGATGTATAGGATAACATCATGATAACATCACACTTCCTATCTATGAGCTTCTCTGCCCCATAAAATGTATTCTATATTATTTCATTTAAAATATTGCAAATAAAAGTCTCAGTCCCAATATAAACTGTTTTTCCAATAGTCCTCTATATCATACTGGTACAAATACTTTTTTGATCTGTCCAGAAAAAAATAGAGAGTTAAGATGAAATGGTAGGAAACATCTTGGCATGTCAGAAGGAGGGCAAAAAATAATCTTGTAAATCTGATGAACTGGTATTCTATAACTGCCCATGCCCATCATGGCCTTCATTTTATGCCCAAGACCTCAGATTCAAAAAGTTTGGAAATTTTCCTGTACAAAGAAATTAGACATAAAATATTCTTATATGTACCATGATGAAACTTTGATTTAGCAGAATTTGTACAATGTACTTTGCGTGCAATGTAGAAAACCTTAGCTGTATTTAATCATTTGCATAATAACTTCACCGTATGATATAGTGGAGACAATTGTGAATAATGGATGTATTTTTTCAGTCTTCAGTGGATCTTAACAGCTTATTAAAATACTTTTTAATATTGCAAATAACTTTTCATCTGCCACTAAGAATTTTGCATTCATAGGACTCCAATAAAGCTTTGCATTCAGGATTCCAGTAAAGCTTAGTTAACACTTTAGCTTTCCTTTCTGGATGCGTTTATTGACAAATCTGTTGTCTCCTTTGTACAAATGATTGCCTTCTGGAACTACTCTTTGTTTTATGGTCTGTTGTCAGCAAGTGTCAGTAAGAACTTAATTTCTATACAAAATGGATTGTAACTTTAAAGGCCATTTTTTTCAATATAAGCCTAGAAGAAAATAATTTATATCCATACTAAGATCTCTTTCGAGTCCAGTTTGATTCTGGTAAGTTCATGGATAAGCCTATGAATTTTATTGGCAACAATATGGAAGTAATTTGTCACTGTCTTCTCCCAGGCTTTTTTTAAAAAAACTTTTCAATATAGTCTAGAGACAGGCATTTCCTGATGCTCTCCCATTCAAGTACTACCTGGGTCTGACACTGCTTAGCTTGAAATCATTCAAAGATGCCCAAATGTCATATGATCTATTCTTAGGTGATCTGCAATTATTTCTCCAATAGAGACCTCAATGCAGACAATCAACTTTGGAATGCCCTATCATAACTGCCTGAATTTTCAAATAATTTTGTCTAATACAGGAGATATGAAAAATTACTTTTCTAGTCAATCCTTTTTATTATATTAAAAGAACATGATTGCCAGTCAAGCATTCAATCTGATCAGTTAGTTGCAATTAATTGACCAGAAATACATATTCCTCAGAACCCAGTCTCTGTGAGGATATACATTATACTGTACATTAAAAAGTGACTTGTATTCATTGCTAATCATGTACTGTATATATATAGATGATCCTCAGATTACAATGGTAATTGGGACCAGAATTTTTGTCACTGAGTGATGGCACATTGTTTAGTAACAGCAATCCTGGCAGTCTCCATTGCTATCATTAAGTGAGAATCGTGGGTTACTAAGTAAGGGCTGAAGACTTTCTTCTGGCTTCCCGATTGATTTTGCTTGTTGGAAGCCAGAAAGAAATCACAAGGAGGACCTAGACTGGGGTGGCTGTTGCTGTGAGCGGTAGAGCGCCCAAGCCTCTGCCATGGCCCAATATGAAGCCCCAGCTAGCCCAGGAGCACAGACTGAAGCCAGAGCCTCCCTGTACTCCGAGACCTCTGTTACCCTAGCTGACCTTCACTGTCCTCTTGTCCCCTACTACTGACAAGGCATGCCTGGCCAGGCCTAGCACTTCACAAGGCAGCTACTGACCACCAAGGCCTTCTTTATGAGGTCTCATGAATCCACAGGGCCAAAAGGGCAGACATGAGGGGGAGATAGGCAGGTGGGGGTTGTTGAAGCACACCTTATGGTTGTAAATACAGACAAGCTGCCAAGAACCTGAATTTTGACCATAGAGCAGAGGTCCCCAATCTTTTGGGCACCAGGAACCAGTTACGTGGAGAGGTTTTTCCACGGACCAGAGGGGGCATGGTTTTGTGTGCTGCCTGCATCACACAGATGGGGCTTTGCTTGTTTGTGCAGCCCAGTTGCTGGCATACCGTGGCCTGGTACCGGTTCAGGGACTGGGGCTTGGGGACCTCTGCCATAGAGGTATCCAGTGGTCATAACTTTGAAGACCAGGCGCAAATATCATTCGTTCAGTGTCATAACTTCAAACACAAAATAAACAGTCATTAAGGACTACCTCTATTCTGTATCTGATACCCTGTGGAGCCTACTCTCTAGTTTTTATAAATTCTCTAGAGTACTATACTAAACTTTCAATTTTGTTACTACTAATGATGGTTATTGAACATTTTGAAACTTATTTTATCTTAACAACTTTCCCATTCTTTTCTCTTCATTTATATCAAATATAATATTCTTATTTGAAGATCTGTATATGAATAACCTTCACTAACAATTAAATTGTTCTTTCTTTCTTAAAAGCTTGCTTATTTCTGTGTTTCAAAAAATCACATTACAGCTGTTCCTCAATTTACATTTGCTGATGCAGTAATGATTATTTTCGGTACTGCATCCATGTTCACTATAACTATTATATCATGTACTTTTCATCAGTGAATGAATGAATGAATATGTGATACCTAACATCTATCTCCTCATATTCCTTCAGACTCAAGGAATTTAATCAAGTAAGCTTAATTTACGGATAAGACTCAAACCTTTTCTGAAATTCAGTTTTAGTTAATAATGAATTAAATTGGGTTACATCCTATTGATGTCTAAGAACAGAGAAACAATAAGGACAAAAATAGCTGCCAAAATGATGTTATTATAAATTACATCATCCTGGTTGCTGGATATTGTAGGTACCCTGGATTAGAGAAAAATCCTTTTGTCCAGGTTCTAATTATTGATATTTAAATAAGAGTACAATGAAATGGAGCAGCATAGGGGGATTTGTAATGGGTGGTTTTTAGATTTCACTGGGGTTTTTTTAGCTCTGGATATGTTAGCAAAAGGCTGAAAGAGCAGTCTTTTTTGTGGCAAGTTCTGTAAACATAACTGGGCATGCATTAGATCTGAACTATTAAACTATTTTAAGCTTGCATTAAAAATAATTATATAGCCCTCTGCTCAAATCAGTTCATTTTAGATAAGTCTATTCTAAACTCGGTTGAAGGAAGCTTGCAATGAAAATAGAGGAGCACAAGTATGAATAAATCATATTCTGCAAACCTCCAATCATATGATTAAACAGGTTTTATATTTAACAGAGATAAGCAGATATTACTGATTCATTCTCTTTAGTAGTATTCATATATCTATCTATGATGTCTAAAACAGTGTTCTAGAGAT